CCCCAAAACCCCAAAACCCCAAAACCCCTCTGAAGGATTTAGAAATTGAATAACAATTATGGCTAAGCTAAGAAATTAGTTCCTAGTTTCTTCATCATCTCTAGTGCTTTATGCTTTTGTGCGTTCCTATACTCCATTACAGCCTCATTTGCAAAGTTATCCATTGATTTGAAGTTAACAACTAGCTCTTTCTGGCGGTACTGGTTCTCAAAATATGATCGAACTTTACTAATGTTCCCTATTTTGGGAATTGATGCATCTACGAATTATCAACCTTAGGTTACCAGATCTACCTTTTTCATACAATTCAATGTTTTTAATGAAATCTGAATCAATATTCATTTTCTTTTCAAGCATTTTTCTGACAATTTTAGGCATTTTCCTTAAACTTTGTCCAGAAGTCTCATGTGCTTCTTTAGCCAAAGATGGCAAAATATTTTCTTGAGAATTGTGAATACTTTTCTTTACTCCAAAACTAGCTTTTCCAACCTTCTTTTTAGACTCTTCAACAACAGAGGAAGCTCTGGACTTTTTATTCAGCTCATCTTCCTCTTGCTTCTCTACAACATCATTCACCCTCCCTGAGGCTGGACTAAGTTGCGAAGACTGGAAAATATTGAAATTTTCATCACATCCCTCCTTCTTCCCATCCATCTCCTTCAAATCCTTAAAATTCCTACTCTGAGCAAGCTTGGGCATCTGTACCACCGCCACTGACTTCCTATTCTCCATCCTATTCTTCAACCCATTGCCTTCCTTCTTCCCCGCCTTACTCCCACTCCTCCCTCTCTTCAGCCCTTCCCTCCTCTCAAAAATCCCAGAATCCCTTAACGAAATCAATGGCTTAACCCTGGGCATATACTGCTCTTCCCTCAAATGTCCAAGTACCATGTCATCATACAGTTCATCCATGTCCTTATCATACCAGACTTCACGGTTAAATTCTACTAATTTCTGAAAATCATCGTAGATTTTATGAACGATTTCTTCTTTGTGGTCAAGCTTTTGTTTTAAGTTAGTTGAGTTCCCTTGAAGGTTCATTCATTTGTTAATAATGTGATTATTTAGCTTCAAATTGTTCTTATTCTTTGCACTTATGCTATAAGTTTAATAACTAAAATTTACTTGGATGTTTTGAAAGTAGCGGATAAAGTCCGCATCAAGGCAGAGTTTGGTGCTAACTGATCTTCCTCTTCTTCAAGAGAAAGTAGCAACAACTTCGTCTTACTACTTCTCCCCTTACTGCCTAACTTTTTCTTTGAAAGTGTATTCATTAAGGAATACTTGAGATCAGATTGCTTCAGAACCCCATCCTTTACACTAATACACTGTAAATTATCACTAAAAATCATTCAAAAATTATAATAATCGAATCAAAAACTATTTTTCAAACCTAAATCTAGTATCTTTTCTGGCTAGGCCCTTCCTAGCCCCCTTTGCCATCTCTTTTATAGAATAATCAACAATGCTTGAAATTTGGGTGTCCACTTTCTCGCCAATCTTTAGCATCTTCTTCGTAGACATTTTCTTATATTTTGGCTTAAAAAGTTTGCCTTTATTCTTCTCAAATTCCAACTGGTTCAAGTTATTTAATCTTCTTCCCTGCTAGGTTCGTGTCTACTCGAGCTTTGGAGTTGTACCTCTTTTGATTCTTTTTAGCATTTTCTTTATTTTAGTTTGTCCTTCAGGCGTTCGAATAAGGGGAGCTGCAAGCCATCTTTCTAGAGGGGGTAAAAGGAGCAGTACCTTTAGCTGCGCTTCTTGGAGAATACTGTGGACAAGAGCGGATTTTACATGGTTGGAATTTATCTTTGGCTTTTCCTTTCTATTTCTCCTCTATTACATCGAGTAGAAGGAGAGGATCGAAGTCTAAATGTTTTTAAGGAATATACCTCCAAGATCACGAGAGTCTTTTACTTTTCCCTTGGTTCTTATATTTCTAGCTGATTCTTCCATTAGTTTTTCTTGAGCAGTGAGTGATTTATTTTTGCCCATTTTATTTTGCATCAATGTCTTCTGTTTCTATTCGAATATCAAATGAGGCAAGATTTATTAAGAATATGGAAAAGTCAAACATACCATGGGCTAAATCCTTCATAAGTTTCTTAAAATCTTGACTTGGCTCTCCTTTTAATGCTAAGACTCGCTTTTTACCAGCTGGCTTAAACTTAGAAGAACCATTTTTCTTTTTAGATTTGGAATTTATATCACCTAAGCCCAATGTTTGGCTACTAATTCCTAATCTTTCTTCTTGATAAAGACAATGCCCCCTCCGAAATGTCACGATAAGTCTCCGAAGTATTCTTCGAAGACTCCTCAGTAAAATTTCTCTCTTTTTGAGAATACATGGTCTTAAGTTGATTTTCCATTAGAAATATTTCAATAAAATTTCCGGAAAATGGGGTTTTGGGGTTTTGGGGTTTTGGGG